TAAAAGAAGTTTATTGACTACAAAAGATAGATTTTAAGTGATATTAGGCAAAAAGTCAGAGTTAGTTACCAAAAGAAAAGAAAATATAAGCACGCAGTCTAACCTCTCAACCCTATTAGACTGGGCAACATCTAGATTAAGCAGTTTTTCTCACCCCACTGGATATTGCAGTTTATAGTACACAGATTTCACTACTGAAATCTGGGCCAGTCCCCTCAGTTGGAGTCTTCAGAGTGTCCTTGTTGCTTGCAGCGTAGGTGGGTGAAGGAGAAAGGCCCAGCATGTGGCCACTGTGTCTGTTTTATACGCTCAGTCCATGTGCTTGGAAAACACAAGTCCAGGTATGTCTGGGGGGCATTGCTGAGTCTCCAGGCAAGGTTGAGCAATTCCCCTGGTGTGGCCTCATGCAGGTGAGTCATTGCATTGTAGCTCCCTTGCCGGACAATGGCTGTTGATGGGTTGTTTGACACCCCGCCTGGGCGTTGGTTACTTTCCTTGCTGTTGCCTCTGGGGAGCTAATATCTGGCTGATTCCCCAACTTACAGCATGTTTTAGTGACCACCATACAACCCAATTCTCATAACTTCATACACATATACGGGAGAGAGAAATGACTTTCAGCAAATCATAACCTTTCCCCTGGTACCTTACAAGACATGCTCTATATGCAAGATCACAATCATATATAAATGAGGAATATGGGGGTTACAGGGCACTCCCCCAGGTACAAAATGTCACAGCTTATTTCACCACAGAAATGCAGCCACATCTGGTAGAACACAGCAGCTGGGCCTCCGGGCACAATGACACTGCACCACAGATTAGGACAGGAAGTGAAGGCTGTGGACCCTGGCAGAGTTAAATGGAGTTGCACTGCCTCTGACCTTTCCTCTCAGAGCGATCCCAGGGAGTGGGGTTGGGCAATTACTCTTCTGTTTGCTTGCCTAGGGTACTGAAGGGTTCTACTCTTACCCCTACCTGCCCAGTGCGTATGTGAAGGGAGAGTGTTGAATGATCTGGGCTGAACTTCCATCACCATGTGGAAGAAACTCAGCCCTACAGCTCTGTTCCATCTGCCTCAGACAGTGTGGCTTCATGGCTCTCCTGCTGTCCAGCCACGATAGAGTCATGGATCAGAGCTGTGGCCTCGTGCAGGTTGTCGGAGACAGGTGATGGGGCAGACAATACCAGCGTCTCTGACTCAGGGGTCTGCCCATCTCTTGTTGATAAGGTTAATACTCAAAGGGCCCTTTGGGATCCTTAGCTGCTCCTGAGTCCCCAGGTCACAGCAGTGGTTAATATTTTTATTTGTACTTACAGACTCCACCTCAGGAATCCTGGTCTCTTTTACCTCCAGACTGGATTAATCTGATGGGCTTTCCTTGGGGCTATCCCGGAACGGAGCTTGGGAGCTTTGTCTGGTGCAGTATGCAGCTGATTGTTTCATGAGCAAGCACTTCTTATGGGGAACATATTATCCCAGTGCCCTATGGTCTGCTTTGGCTTCCAGTTTGTTGCTAGGACATTTAGATCCATGGAGCCCTGTATCGATAGGGTCCTGGCTTCCTCAGACATACCTTCTCTCTTCAGGCTCCAGCCCAGCATTTGAGATCAGCTGAGATAGTTACGTTGACAGCCCCTGGATCTCTATGACTGCATGCTGGGGACAGAGCAATGTTAGTGGAGGGCCCTTGACCCTGGCATTCACTTCCCCCATTCAGTTTGTTGACCTTCATGTCATGTGTCGAGGCCGATGAATTGTGGCCTGGTTCAGGGAGGTTTCTTTGTAAGTGATGTTGTCTCATGTTAGCAATGGTCGAGTTGTTCTGTTTTTGTACGTGCACCTCGAGAGATAGGAAAGAGGCCAAAGCTCACCTGCAAAGAGGGATTGTGGATGTAGGTCTTTTTGTTAAATGGCATGACGTGCTTTGAGCTGTAGAGGAGCACTCCCATTATTCTACTAAGATAAGCACAGGGAGAGCGGAGGAAAGAAGGAAGATGCATAGACAGTGAGAGAGAGAAATAGAAAGATGGCCAAGTTAGGTCAATACGGTAGAAAGGAAAAGAAAGAAGATGCTGTATCCAGGGAAATCCCAGTGGGGGATTTAGGGACATGGAATTGAAATACTTCTGTTGGAAGCTGGGCAGGAACCGGGACACAGAACACCCCTGCTCTTGCTGGAACTGTCACGATGGGAGCTTTAATAACCATGAGGGGCTGGAATATTGTCGTCATGTCCCTTGCTGAAGAAGGGCAGGTGTTGTTATTTATTTATATGACCCAGGCTCTTCAGAGTTCTTTATTTTGGCTCTTTGGGCTCCTGGCATTTTGGGGAAGCCCCCTCACTTCCCCCCTCCCCCCAGTACCAGTCTCTCTCAGTGGTTAGGGCACTAGCCTAGGACTTGGGGGGTTCAGTTCCCTGCTCCATCACAGACTTTCTATGTGACCCTGGGCAAATCACTTAACTTCTCTGTGCCTCAGCTCCCCACATGCACAATGGGGATCACCAGCCTGCCCTGCCTGACAGGTGTTGTGAGAATAAATACATTAAAGACATGAAGTGCTTGGAGATCTACTGATAAAAAGTGCAATATAAGCAATAGATATTATTAATATTCCCTAAATGATCCCGCTTTGCTGCTGCTGCCACCAGTCTGAGCCTGGATTGAAGTTCCTTGCCAGCCCGCTGCTAACGAGAACATCCAGGAGTGGTCTCTCTTTAATGATGCAAAGATATTCCTCCCAATGACAGTGCCCAAAGCTGTTTCCATGATCCTACAGGCCCTGTGGGAATGAAGGGCAGTGCCCAAGCTCCTGGGGGAGTTGCTGGATTCAGGACAGGCCCACAGCTAATAAACATGACTGGCTGCCCCCACTGTGACACTGCCCGATTTCCTCCACAGAGCAGGTATCTCCGGGAGAAGGACCCCTTTGGAACACAAATTGATTAAGTTCCTTTCAAAACAGAAACAGCTGTTGGGGGTGAAAGGAGAGAAGCGAAAGGATATGGAGCACAAAACAAGACATGCCTGAAAACGACACATGACTGGCCAAAGGGGAAGAGGGATTCGCCATTCTCTGTCATGAATGTCAGTGAGTTAGAGATGGCCCCAGACCGTCTGGGGACACTTGATATGCCTGTAAAAGAGATTGACAGGAGCCTGCTGGGCTTCATTAATGCCCCAGATGGAAAACAATTTGCTGGCCATCATCTTTGCCTCAAAGTTACAGAACTGAAAACCAGGCTAGTCTCACCCTGCTCTGCTTCAGTCACTGCTGGATTTATACTGCAAGTTCTATTCATCAGCCTGTCCACTTATATATACCTCCTCGGCCCCACCACAGCAGCCACCTGTGGCCTCCATCCCTGCCAGAACAAGCCCCTCCAGGGCCCCTGTTCCCCTGTAGATCACATCATAGTTTCTACCCACAGTATTTATCTCACCGTCCAATCCATCTACCCATCCCATCTCGCTTGCTCATCCTTCCATGGATCCATCCAATCATGCATCCACTCCTGGCATCCACCCCTCTATCCCTCTACTGCATCCACCTGCAGCATCTATCAGTTGGCCTATCATGTTCCCTCCAGCCCTTTATCCTGCAACAGCCTATCTGTCTGTCTGACTGTAACCAAAGGGAGCTTGTGTCTGATGCCTGTGACATCTAAAGGTTTGGTCCAGGTGGAAATGTGTCATGCGGGTCATGTGGTAATAAGGTGTATCCATGGAGATGGTCAGAGACAGTCGCATGGAGGGCTGCCAGTCAAGGGGCTCCAACTTAGCAGCCACCTTTCCCAGCTCTTTGTTAGGTAGAAACCTGTGCTGGGTAAAGGTCTGTGAGAGGTAATCGGTCCAATTCATTTTAAACCCCTGGGAACCCAGGGGCCAGGAGCCTCTGGGTGTCTTTGCTGGTCCCAGTCACACCCCTAGCCTGGTGTGTGTGGGATACTGGATTTTCAGGCGCAAGCTGCACTATAATATTTAGGCAGATTTGTAACCAGTCATTGGCCTGGTTTGTATCCCCACAAATGTGGTTAGTATTTAGTTAATAATCGTGGCAGCTGTCCAGGTGTTGCCCTTGCCAACAGGTTAGGTGGAGCCATGGTTGTCATCCTATTGTGGGTTTGTAGCACAGTGCTTTGCTGACCCTATAAGTGTGTCTTTGTAACAGACTTGGCCAATATTTCTGCCTCCCAGCTGTCTGTGACAGGACATCCCAGACTGCTTTGCCTCACATGCTGCCCTCTGTGTCTGTCCTCTGGGTAGGCTAGTGTCATCGGAGGCACTGCAACACCCAAAGAACACCCAAACTCAGATAGTCAGTGGTGTTATATTAACAACCCCTTGGGATTTTTGCTGTAGGCTTTGTCACAATGGCATGGGAGGAGCTGAAATCTCAAGGCTTAAGAGGTGGTAAAGGATGTGAAATCAAACATCTAGGTCCTGAAATTCTTCCTGAGGAGACACCAGTTCCGCCTCTTGCATTAATCTCCACTCTGAGGCCTGAGACACCGACTCCGAAATCATGTGGTCTATCTTCCTGCTGCCCCATTGCCTCTGGCCATTGCTGTGTCGTGTCCACTCATCAAGCCAGCAACCAGCAGGGGGCAGGAGGCATGTATGGGGAAGGCAGGGATGGATTGGCATGTCAAGGAAGGGCAGAGACCATGGCCAGCTGGACTAGGGAGGGGACCCAGACCTGGGGATGTGGGCAAGGGGAAGGCCTCCTTTGGTGCTCATTAAGGGGGACAGAGGAATGTAGGGAAGGGCTCTGGGAAGAGAGCAGGAGCTGGAAATGAGGCAGGTTTCCTGCTGAGGCAATAGGGGAGCATATGAGGGACGGAAATTTAATTCACTTGGCATCTTCCCCTCAGCTTAGCACCTCTCCGAGGAGGGTGTGGGATTAAAAATCTGTGACCCCCTGAAGCTACAGAGAACGGCGAGCCCAAGTTGAACTGGCTTCACTGTAATAACCAACTTCTTCTTCCTGATTCCAGCTCCTTTGGGCATTTCCAAGCGAAGGCAAATGGCGTGGCCTCAGGATCGCCAGCGGGCTCGGCCGGGAGCGAGGCCCTGCGACAAGGGCTGTGTCTGACCAGGCTCTCCGTTACGAAGGTACGCAGCACCCCATGCCTCCCTTAATAGCGGGTAATCGGCATCTCTGACCCGGGGGGTGCGGCATCATAAGTAGAGCTGGACAGGGAAGGTGTTTCCCATGCACAAGTGTTTTCGAGAGTTCCAAAAAATTTTCCAGTCCTGAATTGGGACAAAAAGTCGAAATCTCAAAACTTTTCACCAAGCAGTGATTTGGATTGGGTCAGGCCAAACCTTTTGTGTCCCATTTGACATTAAAAAAAAAACAACAGTGTCTTTGTTTACTATCAGTTAACTAAAACTTTGAAACAAAAAGTTGTTTTGATCCAGAAAATGAAACTTTTCACTTTGCAAATGTCAACTGGGGGCATTTTGACAATGTGGAAACTTTTTTTTCAGTTGGGAGATTTGTTGTCACCAGCTCTTCCCATGGACAATTTCTGTTTTGTCAAAGGGCCAGATCCTGGGCTTGCACTCTCCACAGCTCAAGAAAGGGGGACCCAACAATTGTTTTAAACAGCCTGTTCATTCCCCCAGTCCTGGACCATAATAGTGTCAGACTAGTGTCTCAGTAAAACGTAGAGAAGCCTTAGGTTTGCTCTAAGTTACACTTAGCTGCCCACAGCTACGAGGGGCTGTTGCAGCAGTCAGGGACTGCCAAGGTGTAGGGGTGCTCTGGTCACACACCCTTAATCCCAGTCCTATGGATCAGAAGGGGAGCAGAGGGTGAGAATAACCCAGGAATCTCTCTTACACACACGGGATCCTGAGGGACCTGGGGAAGCGGATTTTCCAGCTTCCTAGAGCATCATGGGGCCTGTGTAAAGTTTCTATCCGCTCTGTTCAACTGAATCTTTTCTGTCTGCACTGAAGTTCCCTATGAATAAATGATACAGTTTCAAGGGCAATAAAATAAACAAATGCTTGAGATTTTAAGGCAAGAAAATGCATATGTACCTGCTAAGGCCTGTCCCATGGCGCCTTGCAGCTGGGCCACCTGGAAGAACTATAGCCTTCCACTGTTTTAGGTGTGAATGATCTCAGAGAAATGCAGAACTGTCAGGTCTTGGCAGGTAAATAGAGGAGGGACTGGTTTGCAGCTATTTGCAATTATTAAGCTTGCATATGTATTATGTAAATAATATAATTTAATAATAATAATACCTTTATATAGCTGCTTTTTCCTGAAGTATCCCAAAGCATTTGCAGAACTTAATGAACTGAACACAGGGAATGAGTTCATCTGCCAGTGAAATGCAGCCACCTCTAAGATATTTTAGGGGCAAAGAGCACAGTAGGATTCAAAGTGTGATTAGATGCTTACATGAATAATGAGTCCATCCACAGGAATATCGACTCTTCTGCTTCAGGGCATGAGCCAACCATGAAATGCCTGGGCTCAGGTCATGAAGTGACTTCTCCCATAATTCCATAACTGTCTACTAGAGGGCTTAGTCTATACTAAGTTTTGCTAGCTAGGAGTTTGATACAAATCACACCCTGTAGCCGATATAGCTATGCCATCAAAACCTCTGTGTAGAAGCAACTGTGCTGATAGATGAGTCTCTCTGTTGGTTTAGCTAATGTGGTTCTGGGAGGTGGTGTAGCCACACGGGCAGAGCTCCTTCTGTCAGTGTATGATGGGTCTCTACTAGGAGGCTATACTGGCAAAGGCTTAGTAATTTAGACAGGTCATCTGAAGCAGCTAGTGCTGGCCATGATTGGAGACCCAAGACTGGGGTAGATGGGCCTCTGCTCTGACCCAATTTGTCCGTTCCGATGTTCTTAGAATTCACTATTAAAGGAGCGTAGAGCTGATTAAAGAGGGAGCCAGGTCTATTGGGGAAATCCCAGGACTGGGAAACCAAAGCTGAGTCCTTCTCCTGGCTTTGCAAAGTGGGAATACTCATCCAGACCCACCTCTCATGGGTTGAGGAGCCACATACTGATGCCTGCAAAGTGCCTTGACTCCTTGGACTATAGGCATGGAGAATAGAAAGGATGATTACTTCTAGGGGTACTAAGATTTTAGCACGTGAGACTTTCCATGCAGAAGCTCCAGGGCTGAGGGTGGAAGTTATTTTGATGGCCCAGTGCTCTCCACTCCCCTTTTTTGCAGCATTCAGTTTCCAGCTCCGGAGGAGAGAAGCATCCTTGTTGCCCCCTCTCTGCTGGGATTCATTGTATCACTTGGGACAGCAGCGAAACCTCCTTGTCCCTCCAGTGTGTAGCCAGGAGCAGGACCTGCCTCTATTTCAGTAGAGATAATCAGGCCTGAGCCAAAATTCCAAGATCCAAACACACCTGAACTTTTCAGAACTTTATATCTTGGTCCAATTTCTAGTAAGGACCTGAAAGCACTTTACAAACATTCACTAATTCAGCCTTCCAGCCACTCTCCTGCATTGTGAAGTAGCTCAGTATTATTATCCCCATTTTATATATGGGGAAACCAAGGCACAGCAAGAATAAGCAGCTTACTGAAGGTCTCACAGCAAGAGAGTGGCAGAATTGGGAACCGAACGCAGGAGTCCTGGCTCCCAACTCCCTTCTCTACACACTGTACACTGCCTATGATAAACACAAGATCAGGGGTCTGTATAGGCCCGTTTGCCCAAAGAGCCCAGCACCTTGGCTGCGGACCAGTTTTGAAAATCTGGCTCTGTGTAAATAAGTAACTAAAATTTAACCCGGAAAGTCTCCCTAGAAACCAGTGCAAAACTAATCAAGGCGCCACAACCATTTTACAGACTAGTCCATTTGTGCTTCAAACCACAAATCCTCCACAGAAGAACTAATGGAAAGGGAGCCAATGCACTCAACCAGCAGCCAGAGGTCATCTGGGTGCATAACAATAGGAGCAGCTTAGAACCAATAGTGTATGTCACATACCTCTGGTCTGTTGAGTAGTCTCATTAAACAGAAGGTGAGATGGCCGGAGAGGTGGTGACTCCACATGTTGCCGTATGGACTCTTACCGCCCTGGTGAGATGGCTCTAATAAACACAGGGAGCTGCTTTGGCTCATGTCCTTCCCTGGGTTATTGAACTGATGCTGCAGGTGGTGTGGGGTGGCACATAGACAGAAAAGCTGTTCTGATGGGAATGATGCTTGTTTGGTCCCACAGCTGAACCACCTGGTGACGGAGCAGCTGGTAAAGTGCGGCGTCCCAGCGGTGGGCATTTCGGTAAGGGGCATCCCGTATTTGTCTTCTCTGCTCTCTAGAGGCTGGTAGAGCTGCTGGCTGTGAACTGTAAGGATCCTGATTTGAATCCCAAGAGGTGCAGCATGAAGGACATACTTACACTGTGAGTCTGGCCACCGGATAGAAGACTCTGAGAACTGGTTAATTCTTCTGTAGTGTCTGGCCACCTAGTTGTCAGACACAACACAGGGAATCCAGAGGTTAACAGGTGTAACATGGCCTTAGAATGAAGCTGTGGATTCTGCATGCTTGAATGCCTGCAAGGTTTCTGACTGGGGCGAGGGGGAGGGGAGAAGCACCCAGCTGGGGGATGCTGTTAGATCATGACAGGGATCAACATAAGCCATTGGCCAACATGGTGTCTGTCTTGCAGCCCTTTGGCGCCTGGAGGACAGCAGGCAAGAAAGTCAGCCAGGCTGGCATTTCTGCCATAAGGGACGCCTTGGATGCTGGCTACATCCCGGTCGTGCATGGGGACTGTGCTCTGGACTCTGAACAGCACTGCTGTATCTTATCAGGGGATGCTATCATCGAGGTAAGACGTCCGGCCTTCCCCAGGTGTGGGAGTGGAAGTGGTGGAATCTCTCACTGTCATCCACAGATAGTTACTGTTGGGCTTTGTCTTTGGAGGGTGCCCTCTCTACCAGTAGAGCTGAATGCTGGTGATACCACCCCTTCCTCCTCTGCTCATAGACAGGCCTCTGATGGGTGCGGAGAATCTCTGAAAGAGCCGATCCCCTGAGAGTCCATACAGGAATCTCCTGGGAATGTCGTCTTATTCATGCACTCTGACTGTGGATTCCATACAGGTGACTGGATCCCCAACTTGACCTTTAATGGCTTCCCCGCTTGTGTATTGGGTACAGGCCCAACCAGCACAAAAGCTCCAATATGGGCTTATTCGGAAATTTACAGTTGGGACTAGGACTGAAGGCACTTGTGACCTAACCCAGTTGTGACCACAGTTGGGTCCATTCTGTCCACCCACATGTTCAGGGGCAGGATTCAGCCTTGATCCCTTACTGTGCAATAGAGACATAGGAAGGAGGCCAGAAGCTGGGGAGAGGATTCTGAGTTATGTGGCTGTATATATACATGGAAGAGGAAGCAATGGGAAGAACACTCACAAGAGACTGGCCTTGGAACTGTTACTGAGATTCCAGGGAACCTGTTGCTTTAGATCCTCTGTTGCACAGTTTTCATTTTGCAGGTTCTGTCCAGGGAATTCTCCCCCCAGCGAGTGGTTTTCTTGACCGATGTCAGTGGAATCTATGACCGTCCACCTGATACCCCAGGTATGGTGTAAGGCTCAAGAAGAAAAAATGGAGTCTATTCCTGTCCTTCCCCCAATATCTGTTCATGTTCTGTGCTTTTTTATTGGGTTCAGTAGATTAATATGCTAGCTATTCACGTCTGTATTTTATCCTGGTGTGGCTCACAAATCACATGAGTTTTGTAGTCTCAGCGCAATCTCTACAGGATAATTTAGAGCTTATCACACGAATATGACAGGGTTGCTAGTGTCTACCCAAATGAATGCAAGGACTGGGATGGTGCGGGGGCTGCAGATCGGATTTGAGGGATATCAGGAGAGCTGTTTAGGGGCCCAGGACTGGAATGTCGGAGCGCTGCAGGTCTAGATTGAGGGGCAGCAGCAAAGAGGTGTGAGAGCCAAGGACAGAAGTAGCAGCAGACCTGAAGCACATGGGTCTCACAAAAACAGCCTCAACTGTAACTGCCTCTAAACAGTGTTGTTTGCAGTGCGGTTGTAGCCATGTTGGTCCCAGGATATTAAAGAGACAAGGTGGGTGAGGTGAGATCTTTTATTGAACCAACATCTGGTCCAATATGTAGCCATTTGCACCTGTGCAAAGAGGATGTGAAATGCTACCACCCACTTTGCATAAATGTAAATGACACATAAGTGCAAAGCAAAAAAGAATTAGGCCTCAGGTATATTATTATTATTATTATTATTATTATTATTTATTTGTATTACCGTAGCACCTAGGAGCCCCAGCCATGGACCACATTGGACATAGCCAGATGACACCTGATAAAAATGATGTGCAAACAATGGTTCCTTATGGAGGGAGGGATAGCTCAGTGGTTTGAGCATTGGCTTGCTAAACCCAGGGTTGTGAGTTCAATCCTTGAGGGGGGCCATTTAGGGATCTAGGACAGTCAGGGACAGTATTTGGTTGACCTTTCAAGGTCCCTTCCAGTTCTATGAGATAGGTATATCTCCATATATTTATCTATTAATAACTATCATACATAATTCAGTGTATGATGCATTAATTGACATTTTAGATAGAGATGAGGTCAAGTCGCAAAATTGCAGTTGCTTTTGTGGACACCTAGAGGATGGGGGATTTGAGAATCTAGCATTTAGTCTGGCCCATTGCAAAACTTGGATGCTGAACCAGGATCGGATTCCACAGTGGTGTTTTGGATCCAGGGTTTCAAATCTGGCCCATCTTTAATGTGTGTGTACATGCGAGTGGTATGAGCTCTAAGGCAAACGCTGTAGGAGTCTCTAGTGCTAGGCCCATCTAGGCCCATCCCTAGCATCTGGTAGATTCCCCATATTCTTGCATGTGTATCTGATAGAAAAATAATCTTGACTGGGGCCTACAGAAAGGAAAGGGATACCTGGGCGCACACACGCTGCAGTTGATTATAGGAAAGGGAGGTGTCGGAAGGATTGCCAAGTAAAGGGAGTTGTATAACCTTGCCCTTTGGGCTTTCGGGGTTAAGTAGCTGGGTTGTTCCTTCAAATCTATTCCTCTAATTTACAACCTTGGATTGCCAATGCTTCTGCTTTCTAAGACAGTCTTAGTGTTTTGATGGGACCCCTCTGTATTGTCTCCTTACTGGCTATTTATGGCTATACTCTATTGTAAATGTGTCTACTGTATCCCTTTGTGATTTGTCACCTTTGATGGTTTAAATCAACATAATCCCAGTGATTTCAATGGAGCCACTCCAGTTAACGCCAAGGGAAGATCTGGCCTTGTCTGCAGTTCATATCCAAGACACTTGGGGAAGTGTTGAATGGAAAATTTTGTTTTTCTGTATGGAATTTAGCCTTATGAGATGGTGAGGCAGTCCCAACCTTCTTCCATATTGTGAGGATTCTCATATATTACAGTGATAGGCAAGGTATAAACCCACAGATAGATTTCAGTTGACCAGTGCAGTGTTGAAGACCTAGAAGCCTAGTCTTACATATCTGGTGAATTTGAATTGAGATGGATTGGATTGGCTGGATCTTGGTGAAGGGCAGAACTCCCCAGTGGGGTTAGGTCAGTTCTGCACAGGGCACAAGTCAAACCATAACCCTGCCTGTAATCTATTGATTTGTCTGAATATGCTCCAGCTGTACCTATTCTGTAACCAGTCGTTTGCCCAGAGCACAGTGCAGGCTGGCGTTTGTAGTGCTATTGGGCACCAAGCCCAGGTTCTTTTGCAAATGGGCCCAGGGTGATAAAGTTCAGAAACAAACTGTTGTTGAAGAGTATCTTGTTCTTGTTTCCCCTTCTTGATCAGTAGAGCTGGAATGTGCCATGTGCTATCTGGGATGGGCTTCCACAATGCTGGTGCTACAGAATTGTCTCATCTTTCAGCATTTTTATGCCAGTTTTGACCTACGTGCCCTACCTCTTTTCCCAAACAGGTGCCAGACTGGTGGATTCCATTTCCGTCGGCCCTGATGGAAGCATGGACCCCCCTGTGCTCACATCTGCCCTGCCACATGATACCACTGGGGGAGTCTCCCTGAAGTTACTGGCTGCGGTCAACATAGTCATCCAGAGTCACGGAGCCATCCCAGTGCTGATCTGCAAACTGGACAGCGAAGCCGCTGAAAGAGCATGTTTAACTGGGGAGCTGGGAGTGGGCGAGGGCACGAGACTCTCCCTTGCAACAGCCTGAAGAAGCTGTCTCTGTAGTAGCCTGTTGGACAGGGGGATTTGTCATCAACTTGTTCCAGTTGGGCCCCAGTATCCACTCCATGATTTATCCATGTCACCGGCGACTCCAGCTAAACCATCCGGTGGCAGAGGACTCCTTCATCATTCACTGGCAATACACAGATCCTAGTCTGCATTTTAATGCATCTGTTCTCCAGCCCAGGTCTGACCTGAATGGTGGATAATCCTCTGCTAATGTTTCTTACGTATGTCTTCACTTAAAGAGGCACATAAAGCCATGTAGCAGGCAGCCAGCTGGGAAATGGGCTCAGGCTTTTCAGCTGAGGATTAATAAATTAATATTAGCTCAGCAATTTGGGGCTGTAAAGTGCTGTGCAAGTGCTAAATATTTTAGTATGATATAGAGGGGACTTTGATGTGGATCCTCAGGTTATCTGATTCATTCTAGACCATGGTGTCTGAAATTCCATTCTGCTGCTGGAAGCTGCCCTAGAAACACTTCTATATGAAGTGTCAGTGCCAAAATTTCAGACTTGGGTGCTTAAAGTTAAGCGCCTATGTTCATATTTGGGCACCTAATTAAGTAGTCTAGCTACTCACAGTTCTGTTTGTCGGTCTAGATGCTTGTATGGCCCCCAATACGCGAGTGTGTGAGTGCTGCACAGATACTAACGTAACCCTTGCAATTTCCATGTGAAGCAGTTCAGTATTAACCCAGCTTTACAGATGGGAAACTGAGATGCAGAGAGATTAAGGTCAGACTTTTCAAAACAACTCAGCACCCAATATTGGGGCCGGTTTTTCAAAAGAGCTGAACATGTTGGCTGCTGACCACTTTTGAAAACCTGGCCCTTACTAAAGAGAAGTAGTATCATCCATAAGTTATTTTCCAATTTTGCAACTTTTAAGGTCATGTTCACTGGTGCGCGCTGACTGCATTATGCCACTCTGGAGCAGCACAGAGCAGCCAGAATTTACTGGCTCGCTAAATAGGTGCTTTGCATTACCACAGCAGAGCAAAGAAGGTGGAGTGTATACCTCAGATTTCCTCTGCCTCCTGCCCTCAAAATTCCCCCAGCCTCTTGTACCCCATATTTCTCTGCACACACACACACATATACTTTCCCTCTTCCTCCTACCCCTTCTGTTGAACAGATCTTTGCAAAGACTGACTTTTGAGGAGAAATATTTAGGATTAATGGTCATTTTTGGCCACACTTTTTCATAACGGAACGTTTTCAGTCAACAGAGGCCTCTTCTAGCTCCTCAGTTAGACAGGCAGGCGGCTGCTGTCTAGAACCTGGAGGTGGCTCCGTTCCAACATGCCTGCTTCCCTCTGTGATAGGGTGTTCACCCCACACTTGCCCTGAGAGGGTTAAGGCAGACTGAGAAGGGGGCTAATTAACCCAACAGGCCACAGTGGAGAGGAATCAGGTGGCTAAGCAATCCTGGTTGAATGAGGAGGCCCAGCTGAGGACTATAAAGGCAGAAAATTGGCAGCAGAAAGGAGCTGCTGGGGAAGTCTGTAGTCCCTCCCTGGCAGAAGGGAGGAGTGTTTGGAGGCTACAGGCACAGTAGCCCAAAGTTACTCCCTGGGAGGGGGGAGTTATGCGGTTGGCAAACCCAGCTGGGGGGAGTGCTAGATGGTAGGAGAGGGCTCAGAGACAGGCCGTAAGGTCTAGAAGGGAACAGGCCTCGGCTACCAGCTAGAGGGTCCCCAGAATAGAGGGCAGGCCCTGGTTCCCCTGCCAGCCGCTGAGGGAGTGGAACTAGGAGGCAGTGAATGGGAAGCCTGCCTAGGACTGCTGGCGAGGAAAGACTTCCCAACCCCAGAAGGGGAAGGTGCGGATAGTGACCTGGCTGGAGGGCTAAGTCACGAAGAGGCAGCAGCAACTCATGGAGCAAGAGAGGGGCTGCAGAGGCAGAGCGATGGTGTGCAACTGCAGGAAGGGGCCTTGATCTGGAGAGCTATTCCTCAGAATGACCAGGAGGAGGTGCCAACCGAGCAGTGAGTGGGGCACCCCCCTCACATCCTCCCCTCCCAGCTCACTTTGTAAAGCAGGGCATCCTAGTTGGCCACAGAGGAGGCTGAGCTGGTTATAGTGGAGACTGGGCCCCTGCCATGTTGAGGTACAAGGGAGAGGAGCTGGGAAGACCAGGCCCTGGAGAGGGGAATGAGGGGACCTGGCCACTGAGGGAAGCTTGGGGGACACAGGCTTGGGAGAGCTTTTGGAACGGCAGCTGGGGACAAAATCTCGGCAGGGAGCCTTGAGGCGAGTTGTGGGTCTAGGCAGGGAGGGGGGGTTGGTGTGAGATGGAGCATTTTGTGGGGAGAGGCTGGGAGGTTGGAGGGAGTGAGGGGGGTGTTTGGTGTGAGCGGTGGGTGGAGTCTTGTGGGTGGTGGAAACAGCTGGTTGCAATTTCTGAACCAGAAAATTTTCCTCTGGAAAAAATGGAGTTTTGTTGAAAATGATTTTTTCTCCCCACAGGAAAATGGCAGTTTTTGACCCAAACAATAGAAAATTTTGAAACAAAACAATTTTGAGAACAGAAAAAAATTAAAATTGTCCTTGTTTGCACTTTTCTGTTCTTCACTCTCTGACTTTTCAGATCATCATCAGCTCTGGGAAAATCACCAAGTAGCAAAAGGAAAATGCAACTGTCACTCTGAGGCTTGTCTGACTTGGCCAAAGTAGAAATTTTGAAAAGCTACAGAGTGAGCAAAGAAAAAAGAGGGGTGGGGAGAACCCCAATCGTCGCCATTATTCATTTTATTGCAGTGAGTGGCATAAAGGAAAAAAGGGAGAGGCAAGAAGGGGAAAGGAAACTTCAAAAATTCAAATATTTTTGGGGGAAAAAATTAATGGAAAATGTTCAGTTTCAAACCCTGTGAAATGGAAATAACCTAAGGTGTAATTTAGTCAAATCCGTGCAAAAGGCTGTGTAGACACTCCTATTTTGGTGTAAGTAGGCTTACTGTGGTTTAGCTTACCTGAAATAAACCACTCTTAAGCTGGAATAGGAGTGGGCATACAGGCACTTGCACCAGTTGAACTAAACCCAGGCAGAGTTAATAGATGCTTGTATTTTAAGACCAGAAGAGACCATTCTAATCCTCTAGTCTGATCTCCTGCATGGCATAGGCCAGAGAATCCCATCCAGTGATTGCTGCATCAGGTCTACACCTTGAGCGAGACTGACTATATCTACATGTTCTGAAATTAGTTATTTTGTGGATTTTTATCCTGGGTATAAGTCTTTGTATGTTATGGGTAAAATAAGTTGTCACTTTTAGGAAAAATAATGATGATTTAATATCCATAGCTACTCAGGAGACCACACCAAGGCAGCAAATTATATGTGCTCTATAAGTTTGCAATATGTTTTATTTCATAGCAAAGAGGCAAATTTTCCATTCATACAGCAATGTGTAAATATATGCCGTACCCTGCCTGGCTAACCAAACACACAGACTGATGCATGAACTTTCATGACATGTTCTGAGTGGGAAAAGTCTCCCACCTTGTCTCTTACAATATTCTTTTTTATGTGAGATGATTGGGGAAAACAGCATTGTTTTGCAGCACACACAAAAAAAAGGTGGTAACTCGTGTCTGAAACACCAGGTCATACTTGTACCGTTAACTGATCTACTTGCATTTTAAGAAAAGAAAAACTACAGTCAGCTGAAAAAAAAGTTTAACACTTAAAAATACATTAAAAGGATTTCAGGAAGTGGCTGTGACTTAGCCCATAAAATATTAATACTAATATTTGGCATTTATATATTGTTTTTTATCTTCAAAGGACTGTAGAAATATTAATCAAAGTGCTATGGGCCAGATTTTCAGAAGAGCTCAGCCACTGATTTCACCTGGGATCGTGAGGTGCTCAGCACCTCTGAAAGCCTGGCCCAAATTAATCTTACTGTTTTCAAAGCAGACAATTATGCTGCACTTTGATTAGATTGTTCAAAGGTTTAGTGGAACAAAAGCTTTCAAGGCGATGCTTTGAAGAAGAAAGAAGATCTGCAGAAAATCAGCCCTCTGAACTGACTTAAGAAACGTCAAAGAATTAAGTTAATCTCAAACTTGTCCAGTGTTGTCAGTGGTATGTACTGAAATAATAATGAACAGGAGACTGGTGCATTGGGTTCCCATAAAAAATTGTTTAGATTTATCACAGGCTGTCACCTCCTAAGAGGAGAGGGCAAGAGAGAGATTAGGTCAGCAAGAGGGAGAAAGTGAGAGCACAGAGAGAGCAGCAGCAAAGGCTCTTAGTGATCTAAGCTGCTCTTTGGTATCTGAGCTTAGACTGGAAAGGCAACTCTTGCAAGCAGCAGCTTTCACAGCATCCTGGGGAGGAAGGGAATCAAGGAGAAGACAGAACTGTAGGAGGAAGACACAATATACAGGTGAGTTCTAAGCACCCGGTGCAGAATGAAGAATGAACTGTGATTGCTTGCATATGGTAGGAACAATTGATCTGGGTTACTCCTAGTTGTCTTGACATTGAACAAAAGATAACTGGTGGTAGCTTCTGCTAACCTCCTCTTCACACTAAGGGAGAAAACTCATGGACTCCTAAATACCCTTTGTAAAGCCACCAAGTTCACAGGGGTTTCTAGGGTGCAAGTTGGGTGCAATGGGCATGTGGTTGGGAGCGATTCGCTGTCTGGTGATTTATTTATTTCTAACCTATTCAGTTATTTCTGGGGTGGGTGCTGGGGTAACATTCTGGCTTTGGATGAGGGCTGCTTTATTCCTCTGTTAGGATGCTGATTAAAGATGGACTTTGCTGGGGAAATACAAATTGCAGGAGTGGGACTTGAAATCTCAGGGACTGGATTCTTCTGGCACTTTTCTGCTCATAGCAGATAGTGGCTCTGTTTGGGCCAGGCCAAGTTCAGACAAGGCAGCCCTAGAAAGATGTAGAAAATAACATTCAATCCAAAATTTAGGGAAAGAGAAAACAAATGGGACTTCACTGTGGATTAACTGGATTCCAGGTGATTTTCTGCAGCATTTGTTTCAGCCATGGACTCTTAACATGGTGCGGTAGGAAGGTTACAATGCAGCCTTTCAGGCAAGGACTTTATTGCATATTTTGTTGTTGGGAAAGATCCTTAGCTGGAGTTGTTTTAATATGCTAAACTGGGGGGTGGGTCAGGGAGGTGTGGTGGTAGTTGTAAAGGTTTCCGTTAATGCATTGAAAAATATGGGGAAAAGCTCAGTCCTTGACATCAGGAATTCCTTATTGCACCTGGATTTTATGCCACATTATTTTAATATAAACAGCAGTGTTTTATTAACCCCATGGGTTCCTGGCAGTAGTGGATGCAGCGTGGTTGGGAACGCCTATTGCCCTGATGCTAATTTTAGCTAGAGTGAGAAGACATCCAACAAAGAGCAAGGACCATATAGGGTCATACAGGACCAGTGGTGCTGGATGCATTTCCCAAGTCCATTAAAGTGCAAGGCGGGTTAAAATGTCATTTTCTTTACCATGCCTGGGAGAAAGGGGAGGGTGGCTCTGACAGTGAGTCAGGATTTCATTAATTACGTCGCTGATGAGACCAAGTTAAGGAAGGAAAGGGTAAGCGTGATCCAATGCTGGCCAGCCAGGAGTGGTCAGGGGCTGGGCGTTAGCAATCACAGGGGTGGGGCATGAGTGCCAGATTGATAAGCAGCCAGTGCCCCATCTAAATCATGGATGGAGTTGACAATCATTCCCAGTCAGTCATGGACGAAAACAAATTAGTGTTGAATGAGGGAATAACAAGGATTCTATACATTGTGGAAAGGGCAGGGGCTAATTTACAACACGAGAACTGGGTACTGCTACTCCTTGCAGTCGCTAGGCCTAATTCTAACCTTCTCATGCTGAGCAGCACCTTAATCAGTTGATGGCAGTCGGACTAATCATGGCACTATGATGAGATCAGAATCTGGCCCATTGCTGGTGAAAGTGCCAGACTGAGAGTCAAATTGTCAAACTTTGGTGTCTTCAATTAGGCCCCTAAATCCATATTCAGACATCTGAATTCCAGACCTAATATTCAGAGGGGCTGAGCATCCTCCACTGAAATCAATAGGAGCTGCAGGTAGTTGGCACTTCTGCAAATCAGTCTCTTATTTAGGTGTCTAAAAATTATGGATGAAGGGGCCTAATTTTAGGCACCCAGCTTTGAAAATGTTGGCCTGAAGTCCTCTGTCCACAATCTGAGTACAGTATAGTATAAAGAGCCTACAGGGTAAGCGTCCGTCAAACCCTGCACCCTATACAACGTTCTCAAAAGCATCTCTTGTAGGTGAAAGTAAAGTTCAGTCTGTATGGCCAATTCAGTCCTTAGCCTCTGCAATGGGACTACCAACAAGGTCGCTAACTTACGCAAAGGACATTTATCCAGCCGAAATGGGACGAAGATTGAGACACTAGTTAATGACCACAAGAGAAAATGACTTTGTCATTACCCAACCATCGCTGGATTTGAGCTGGTGAAACAGAAGAAACCTATCCTAGTCTCAGTGCCCACAGTGCTCTTTAACCTAGAGTGATATAGTTCTAATATATTTCTATGTCTCAAAGATATATTAGAAATGGAAAAGGTGCAGAGAAGGAATGGGTTACCTAGGGAAGTGGTGGAATCTCCTTCCTTAGAGGTTTTTAAGGTCAGGCTTGACAAAGCCCTGGCTGGGATGATTTAGTTGGGAATTGGTCCTGCTTTGAGCAGGGGGTTGGACTAGATGACCTCCTGAGGTCCCTTCCAACCCTGATATTCTATGACTCTAAGGATGACAAAAATGATTTATGGTATGGAACAGCTTTCCTATGAGGAGAGAGTAAATACACTGGGATTATTCAGTTTGGAAAAGAGACAACTAAGGGGGTTAGTTAGATAGAGGTCTACAAAATTATGACTGGTATGGAGAAAGTGAATAGAGAAGTGTTATTTACCCCTTCGCAGAACACAGGAAGCAGGGGTCACCCAATTTAATTAATAGGCATCTGGTTTAAAACAAACAAAAGGAAGTACTTCACACCACACATAAGAATGGCCATACGAGGTCAGACCAAAGGTCCATCTAGCCCAGTATCCTGTCTTCTGTCAGTGGCCAGTGCCAGGTGCTCCAGAGGGAATGAACAGAACAGGTAATCATCAAGTGATCCATTCCCTGTCACCCATTCTCAGCTTCAGGCAAAGAGAGGCTAGGGACACCAACCCTGCCCATCCTGGCTAATAGCCATTGATGGACCTACCCTCCATGAATTTATCTAG